CATGTGCAGGGAGGGCCCACAAACAAACCCTGGTGAGAGCAGTCCCCGGGCCTTCTGAGTGAGGAACTCCTCTCTGACCTGGGTGCACAGAGGGCAGAGACTCAGACTGTAATGGCGGCAAGGTCGTGGGTCACCTGCTCTGCCCCCAGGAAGTAGATGGGAAATACCTGGCTCTCTCCATGAGTTTCAGCTGGGAACCATGGTGGTGGGAGCAGGTTGCAGCCTGTCTGGTTCTGCTTCTTAGTCAGTTCAGGACATGTGCCCTGACTCAGTTTTAAAGTAACACTTTTGTTTGGTAGTACTCCACAGCTTGTCATTTGTGAGGTGTGCCCTAATGATCCGGTGCTTATGGCTGAGAACCATATAATTGTTGGTCACTCCCTGCCATTGTTTGTGCAATCTAACATGAAGGCTTCCTTCAAATGTTTGCCTTGTCCTCAGTGATCTGTTTGCAGTGAAGATCTGGATGCTGCACAGTGGCTCTGACTAGGGTTTAGTGAAACCTCTTAAGCTGCAGGTGTTAATAGGCCTCTTTTAGTATGTACCATGGAACATTCTACTCTATATGATAAGATTTGCAGATTGTGCAGCCCTCAGAATCAGAACAAAACATAATCAAGCAGTGTTATAGCAAATGGTAGTGAAATATACAAACAATTTAATTGGTTACATCTTAATTGGTTAGAAAACCTCCTGAAAATAACTAAAGCTTAATATCTTAGTTAGCTTTCCCTTGCTGTGACAAAATATGCAAGATAAACCACTTAAGCAGGAAAAAAGGTTTATTTTGGCTGATGCTTTCAGTCCACATCACTTGCTCTGGCCTGCTTTACCCTTGGCCAGGCCCACAGGAAGCACGTGGTGGAGCAAAGCTGGTCACATCATGGAAGTGGGCAAGCCAAAAGAGACAACAAGAGGAAGAGGCTGAATGCCACATCTTCTCCAGTGCACACCTCCAAAGACCTAACTTCTCCAAGCAAGCTCCACTTCCTAAAAGCCCATCATCCTCTAATCCCAACCAAACTTTAGCACATGGCCTTTGGGGGACACTGAAAAAATTCATCATGGAGAGAATGTGGCAAAGCAAATCCACCCATCTCATAGCCAGGAACCATAGAGACAAAGGGTAGAAGAGGCCAGATGAAGAGGCCTTTTTGGGTGTGTGAGAAGCATGACATAGAAGATTTGAGCTGTAAGCCCTAAGTATTTTGAGGTTTCATACTCTGGTAGACAGGGAAATCAAAGGTTATTTTGTATGTTTAAGAGACTGCTTTATTTTGGGCACTAAGTGTTCCTCAAATGCCCAGTCCCCAGTATGATGGGTAAGCTCAGTTTTCAACTTGCTTGAAAACAGGCCCCACAAAAAGAGGGGGAGAGGATACATAACACATTGTAATGCCAAGATGATGTTGCAGAGATGTTTTTGGGATGCTTTTGCTTTGGCTGCCTTTTCCATAACAAAGTTAAAAGGCACACCTTCAGTGTCCCAAAGACCTCCACCATACACCATTTCTTCAAGTTTCCACTACCTCCCACTACATCCATGCTTACTATATTGCTCAGTTTTCCATAGCTGGTACATAATATCTGACACCTGCAAACTCAAGGAGCAGGCTTATTTTGGCTGTGGTTTCAGATGGTTCTAAGTAGAAACATCATGGTAGAACAGTGTGGTGAAGGAAAGCTTTGGACTTTATGATGGTTGGGAAGCCAAGCAGCAGAATAGTAACAGAGAAGAAAGGTCCAGAGACCAGATGTAGTTTGTGAGGTCAGATCCTCATGAATGGCCCTGGCATACCAAATGTGTGCTTTTCTAATCTCCTATGCATTTCTTAAGCCAAGCAAGTTCAAAACTGAGCTTACCCATCACACTGGGGACTGGGAATTTGAGGAACACTTAGTGCCCAAAGCAGTCTCTTAAGTATACAAAATAACCATTGATTTCCCTATCTACCAGAGTATGAAACCTCAAAATACTTAGGGCTTAGAGCTCAAATCTTCTATGGTACAGTCATGTGTCTCCCAGACCCAAATAAATCTCTCCCTATAGATAACAAAGAATGCAATCCACATTATGAGCAAAATACCGGAGCCTTACACAATGAAAACAGGGACTGGGTCACTACAATAAAAATATTTTCTCACAAAAGGAGGGGGAGAGGATGCATAACACATTGCAATGCCAAGATGATGTTGCAGAGATGTTTGGGGGATACTTTTGCTTTGACTGCCTTTTCCATAATAAAGTAAATATCTGCTTCCTGAAAGAAGTCTTGAGACTAGATCCTTGGTTTTTCCTTTACCTTCTATGGTCTTATAGGGGTATTAGAGCCTACAGGATTATTTAGCATTTTACCATATAGCTAGGATCTTGTGATTTCACAAAGTATTTGTTTTTGCACACAAATATTGTTTCTTTTAGTTCAATCATGTGGATTTTCTGGTGATAGCATACATATATTATACACAGACACATGTAGAAACATACTAGATAAAGGCTAATTCATGTAAGTGGTTGCATTTAGCCCTAATACAATTAGTCATTCCCCTCAAGCAATTGTCTATTTTGGCTTTGAATACCTTGAGTTTATCAATTGTACCAAAACCCCACAGTATTTTTTTCCCTGAAGCAGTACAGACAACTGAAATGATGTCCATGTAGAAATTTTAATCCAGTCATTGCTTTGGTTTAAAACCAAATGTATATATGATAGCCATGTCAACTTGGCAGCCAAATACATCTTGTGAAGCCACAATTATATGGAAATAAAGAAATACAGGTCATACTTTCATCTAACACAATGTAAGCCTCTTGATTACATTCATTCTAAAACATATTTACCCAGAAGATAATGCAAGCTGTTCAGGTGATATTTTTCCTTTTACACTACTTCAACTATGGTTATATAAGACTATCTGTTATTAATACACTGTTTTAGATGATAATAGGATAGCAGAGTTAAGAAAATGAAAACATTTTGCTAGTCTATGTGGAAATAGGTTCAAAAAATTTTCTCATTACTCCTACAATCTTGAATTGTACAAATGGTCACATGGACATAGTAATCATTCACGACTTTTATCTTCTTATAAGTACATTGATAACATCACAGGGCCACAACTTCCCCAAACCCTAATTATCTCCTACAGGCCCAGCCCATACACCATCACCATGCATCTTGGTCATATACTCATTGCTGAGGCAAAATACCCAACACCCACAGTTAAAAGAGGAAACATTCATTCTGCTCACAGTTTGTGGAGGCTTCAGTTCATAGCTGGCTAGCTCCAAGACAGAGTTGCATGGCAGAGGAGAAACAGTCCATGGTAGGCAGAAGGCAGCAAAGCAGTGAAGTAGCAAGCAGCAAGCAACAAGCAACAACCCTGTTTCTGTCCCTTATATGCTGTCAAGGATACATGTCCTTAGGAGGTAGAGCAGCCTTAATCCTAGCATCAAACCATAAATCCTAGCATCCATAATCCTAGCAGCCACATTCTCGCATCACACCATAAATCAATGCCAGGATCACATCCTTGATGCCAGCTTCACACACCCTTGATGCAGCCACCTCCCAAAAGCCCCACCTATGACCACATAAGCCTTTAAGGGAATATCTAGAGAGAAGTCATAACAATGTGATTTTAGGTATTATGATTTCAACGCCTGAGTGTTTGTGGGATACAATCCAATTTTAGCAGATGCTGCAGGGGATTTCCTGTCATCCAGGCATAGTCTTCTAGAAATTCATTGTTTACTAGAAACCCAGTTTCCACCTTGGGAGTCTGGATTCCTCACTTCTGTCTTCTCTGCCTATTAATTTGGAGGCCTGAAGAGTCCAGGGAATCTGGGTGACAGCCTCAGTGTTACCATTGTGATATCTCTTGGTAGAAATGCTGTTTCAATTACTGTTCCCACCAGACCAGTATATCTTGGCTGTCAAGAAAAGCTGAACTCTTATGCAGTGTGTGAAACTACTCTCTACTGCTGGGATTTTTAGATAAGTCTCAACCTTAGTCATTCCTTCTTTCACTGATTGAATTGCTCACATCCAAAATATATTTGATAATATGCTTAAATTAAAGGCAAATGGTTTTATTCTATAATCATGTGCAAAACACATTCACAACAGCTAAATTAGGGAACTTAGACTAATCAATTGGCATATATATACACCAGCACATTGATGGAATAAAGTATGTTGCAGGATAAGCTGAAGAAACATGAGAATGCCAGGGATATAGCTTGGTGGCACAGCACCTACTTGGCAGGTGTGAGGTCATGAGTTTGATTCATGATACAAAAAGAAAATATGAGAAGTTTGAAGCAAGGTGAGACCCTCCAGAATACGAACAAGTCAAAATAATTAAGAAACAAGACAACTTGAAAATAGTGAAAGCAGAGTGCTTTTAGAGAGAGCTCAGAATCCAGGGATGGTGTTCTACTACTCATCTGTTGGGGAAATTGTGCACCAGTTTTCCTTCAGATCTTGTTACTTTTTCCATTTTAAGATTGAATTTCACTGTGTTTCCAAGGTTGGCCTTAAACTTTTGATCCTCCAGCATCTGCTTCAAAGTAGCTGGAATTATAGGCATGTGCCTAATTTTTATACTTAATTTTTTAAAAATGTATCATTTGTTCCAAAGTTCAACATTTATAATTTTATTTAACTAAATTAATTCTTTACACATTTGTTCACTGCATTAATATTCATGGACATTTCTTGTTCCTATCACTTTCACTCTTCTTAACATAAAGTGTTGTAAATTTTTGTCAGTTTTTGCTTTCTATTCTGACATCCTTGACTGTTATTGTTCCTAAGATATATATTTGTGCATGTTCAAATTAAGATAATTTAAGAGTTATTCCTAAAATAAACATATATAGTCACCATTTGAAATATGGCCTTTACCTTGGAATAAACTTAAAATATGTACTCAAGCCACTGATTTTAACCCACATACTTCATACTCCTTTATTCATTTTTGTTTTTTTTTGCTAGGGTTGCTAGAAAGAAAAAGCAGACGACAGAGGATGATTTTGAATGAGAATAAAAAGGATATTCTTAACGAATGGTTTGAAACGAACCCCTATCCTGGTATAGATACCAGAGATTTTCTGGCCAAAGTAATCAGTATTTCAGAGTTTCAAATTCTGGTAGGCACTTTTTAAATATACTTTTTTTTTCTCAGGGTCAAAATAAAGAGAAAAAGTAAGTTAAGCACTTCTGAGCACTTTACTTAGGTCAGATATTTTGCTCAGAAATTTATTCCACACGAAATGAAAATATAGAAAGAAAACCAGGAATTCCGTGTGTACCTTTTGTTAAATGTGGAAGCACTGCTTGTGTGTTTGCACTGAGTGGGAAGGAAAACTGGTGCACAATTTCCCCAACAGGATGTACTTAAATCACAGTTTGAGAATTACAGAACATACAAAAAATTGAATCAGTATAAAGATATAGTCTTTCACTGTTAGAGCATAGACATGAGAATAAGAATTAAAATAATTTTGACAAAGCAGTGGTGTTAGAACTTATGGAAAGTCCTAGTTCTTTAGCTACTTTTTAAAACTGATTTAAAATTTTAGTGTCTTAACTGTGATTCATACAAAAGAATGAAAGAAAAATCTGTGTTAATATACTATGAGAAAATAATTCCTGTAATAATTAAGCAATGATGAGTTTCATATATTGAAGAAATAGGTATGAAGAATATAACTGAAAAAAGTGAGAGTGTTTTAATCAATGAAGAAAAACATTTGAACATTTAGAAGAAAAAAATTGAATTCATGTACTTGCATTCAGTATATAGTCTCTGATTAATCATCAGCTGTAATGATTTCAGGCCTGGAAAATAGTGAAGAGAAGAACAATTTTAATGATTGGCTAGTGTCCTGGGTATGGAAGACAGAGTAAACACACACACCAGTGCTAAAATTGCTTCCTATGGGACCAGTAGGTAGCTGGCTCAGGGTCCTTTGGGACTGATGGTGAGAAGGGAAACCACAGAAAAAACACAGCACAATATTGCTTCTGATTTGGTGTTAACTAATTTATCCATTAGTTTACAGGTTTCAGCTGTAAGACTTTTTAACCTCAGAGAGAATTTTGACTGATTAATCTGGAGAACAAGTCAAGACTTTGAGAAAAATGCCCTCAATATAGTAACAGTTCAAATGATGATGATCATCATTCAGTCAATAAAGGTTATAGTGAATTATCAAGATAGCCACACAAAATACTTAAATGTAATTAAAAAGCATGAATCAGTGTCTACTCCTATCAAGAAAGTAAGCATAATTCCAACTGGTTATGTCAGTCGATATAGTTTTAAAGCTAGATATAGAGTGTTTGTGGCTACCCCCAGAATGAGATTAACAAGACTTGAACACAGAGGAGAGTTAGCAATGCGGCTTTCTGTGTACAGTTTGCTTTCCTACTTAAATGAATAATTTTCATAGATTAAATCCACATAATTTTATCTTATGAGATCATATTTCTTATGAAGAGATGAAGGTTAAGAAATTAATAACTACTTAGCAACTGTGAGGTGTGAGAGAGACAGACAGAGAGAGGAGAAAGGAAAATAAAATCAGGGAGATTTCCATTGGATGTCAGGACAATGACCATAGAAAACATGCTAATTTAAGTGAACACCCAGTACTGTTCTCAATTTTATGCTGATGTTTTAAGTAATAACATCCCTGAAATAACACACTTCCCTTCCCCTTATGTACTGCCCCAAGAAGAGAGGCTAAATCAGTTTTCTTTGGTTAGACGTTTGAAATGATCTACAATGAATTCCATCTTCTTTTTCTTGCCCCATACTTTGTCTTTTCACTTAGACTTGGTTTTAAAACCAGAGAAGAAGGCGCAGACAAAGGGAGTATGAATGCAACTTTGGAAAATATCAAACCCAGGCATGGAACAAGCTTCAGTTCAGCCATGAAGGTAAGAGTCTCATCCCCCACTCAAATACAATGATTCTGTGGATGTATTTGACAGTGTAAACAATTCTGCATACTGTGCCCAGATTTTCTCTAAAGAATTCTTAGAATAGGGACGAAGAGTAGCATCCTAGCACCAGAGCTATCAATAGTACTGCTGCTGAGCAGTACAGTGTCCTTTTACCTCTGGAGTTTTGTCCCAAGGAAAAGACAATTAAATGAGTTCCTGAGGGACATTTATAGTAAAAGTGATTAGAACTATACTTAAAATTTTTTTTCAAGTTTGAATGTGTAAACTAACATATAAACCCTATTTTATGCCCATGGTTTCATCAGGTAATGAAGCCAGACATATCTGGACAAATTTCACAAGACCTCAAATTGAAACCCTAATTCAAGCCTCTGACCAGAATCACTTGCCTAGAATTGCTGTCAGGGAAGAACTGGCTAAACAAACAGGCATTCCAGAAAAGAAAATTATGGTGAGTTCTCTTTGTGTGGTACAATATTTGTCCTACCTACACATGGTATTGCCTCCTGAAAGAATATTGCTGAATGAATGTGGGCTCTTTGGGATCACTGCACTGAGAGAGAAGGCAAGTTAGAGTCAGAAAAGGGGGAAATTATTCACCTTATTGTCAGAAGTACACACTCTGAGAAGCAGTAGCAGGAGGACAGAGTGGAGAAATGTGAATATTGGTATGGAGTTTTGAGAACACAGTCTATGCCAGTGCTTTTCATAATGCTGGTATGATCAGTTCAAGAATGATGGAAATGCTATCCTGTGTACGGTGGGGATGTCCTTCAGCATCCAGGTTTCTGTCACTGGAGACCATGTCTTCATCCTGCTCCTTACTGTAAAAACTTGTGAAATCTATATACTACCAATGACCTGAAATAGGGTAGGGAAATATCCCTAGTGGAGAATCCTTGTTCTAATAAACTATGGGATTGTGATTCAGTGTCCATTAAATGTTCATGAATTCTGAGGTATGTCCATGAAGTACCCTATACAAAACTTTCAAAAACTCACTTGTTTCATCTAATCTGCACTTATATCCCTGTTCAGAAACCTGCATCCTCTACGTTGCTTGGTGTAGAGGAGAGAGACTTATCTTTTTCTGGAGATCTCACTCAGAGTGAGGATGAGAGGGCAGATTCTAGATCTTCCATCTTTTCAGACAAAGTATTATTTCTTTTATAGCAGTGATGGTGAACCTTTTAGACAATGAGTATCCAAACTGCAACTCAAAACCCACTTATTTATCACAAAGTGCCAACAATTCAATTTGCTGACCACCAGCACAAAGGAGCAAAGTTCCACTGACCACCAGCTTCTGGCATGCTCTGAAAAAGGCATCTGAGTTTGTTTCTTACTTTTTGAGGGCTTCTGCTACAATCACAGCCAGTCCAAGCAAATCATA